TCAAAGCAATAAATAATTCAAATAATTCAGGTTATTTGAAGCAAAACTACACGTCAAAGTTGATAAATATTTACCGAAAATTATTTAGTCAATATAGTACGAAAATGTTACAAATATTTTTTTAATATTACACGTGAAGGTTGCAAATATATTTCAGCAATATAGTTATAATATAACACGACAATATTGTAAATGTTTCTTATCAGTATTGTATTAATAATATACGACATTCCTCGTTAATGTTGCTTAGAAATAAATTTCCTTTCTTCTTCAAGCAATATTTACTGCTATTGCCCTAGGGTAATAGTGGGTACTTTATTGACCAAGGGCAATAATGGACACTTTATTAGACGCTTAAAAATTTTTATTTTCTTCTTGAATCAATATTTATTGCAGGGGAATAATGGGTACTTTATTGACCTAGGGCAAAAATAGGCACTTTGTTGACTGTTTAAAAATTAATTGTCTTTCTTCTAAAAGTAATATTTATTGGTTATTATTGCCCTAGGGTAATAATGGGTACTTTATTGACCTAGGGCAATAATAGGCACTTTGTTGACTGTTTAAAAATTAATTGTCTTTCTTCTAAAAGTAATATTTATTGGTTATTATTGCCCTAGGGTAATAATGGGTACTTTATTGACCTAGGGAGGTAATGAGCACTTTGTTGATTGCTTGTAATTTTTTTTTCTCCTTGAAGCCTTATTTATTGCTTATTATTACCCTAGGATGATAATGGATACTTTATTACCCTAGGGTGATGTTGGATACTTTATTAACCTAGGGTAATAATGGATACTTTATTAACCTAGCGCAAAAATGGGTACTTTATTGACCTAGGGCAGTAATTGGCACTTTATTGACTGAATAAAAATATTTTTTTTCATCTTGAAGCAATATTTATTGTTTATTATTGCCCTAGGCAAAAATGGGTTCTTTATTGACCTAGGGCAATAATGGTCACTTTATTAACCGATGGGCAATAAGGGAAAACTTAGTATGTGTCTGTATAGGTATGTAAAGTGATCATAATATCCCTGAGTAGCATACAAATTAAATCTAGTTACTGTCAGTAAAAAAATTAATAATACTACTTTCAGCTTATTTTGGTTTCGTGAAAAATTCGTAAGGGCAAACTCATGTCGCTCTAATATGATAATGATAATAATAATAATAATAACAAGAATCATGCAACATAATAGCTTGCAGTAGCATATAATAATATGGATAACAATGAGTATAATTAATGCAAAACGAGAAGTAAAAAGGCCCATTAAGGAAAATTATTTGTATATGTATACATACACACCAAGTGCCTAATGGTATAAGTGTATCAAATTTTAAGTACAAGTATATGTAAAACACTTATATACGCAAAGGGCATAAAGTTTAATGCAAAAGTTTTTAATGGGGTAGATTCGCTCGAGAAAATTCATTCGCCTCCGCGTAAACGTATAATGCACCTCTATATCTACTAAATTACTACTAAGAATAGAAAAGGTAAAGTGGGACGAGACGACAGAGAGAGAGAGGTGAAAGGAGAGGGGGCAAAAAAAAGTCAGAGTATAACCAGGTAAAGATTTGAGAACGCAAAGGACGCCCCGGGCAACATAATTCTATTGTACATGGGCCATCTTCCTCTACTAACAAACTACACTATGCATCCCGGCGGTTTTACTCTAGAGCGACGATAAAGTCACGGTGTATTTTCTTTATATCTATGCCAGTAGAGGAACTCGTTATATCGCATATTACGAGGACTATATATATATGTATATATATATATATATACATTGGATAACGGACTTAACGAAAAACAACACACGGTGACTTTCTATATAGTTTTCAAAACTGTATGTAATCGTTACCATAATGCAGTTGAGAAGTAATTTCAAACTTGGATTTTATCATTCACAATATAACATCTCGTAAACGATTTGAGTGTATCTTATCTTTCTGATCTTCGATGCACTCTCTCTCTCTCTCACTCCCCCAATCTCTCTTTCTTCGCCTTTCTCTATCTTTCCTTTTTCGCTCTTCTCTATCTTACTCATAAGTCTCATCATAATCCGCTTCAGATTTTGCATTCTATTGTATATAGTTTGAGAGTTAAGCTTCTCTAGATTAAATCGATAGTTTCTCGCACTATAAAGTACTCTTTTCATTTTATCTTACTTGAGGGAGTGATAAAATTAAAAAAAAAAGGAAATATTGCAAAAAAAGTGTTGATGAAAAAAATGCAAAAAGACGTCAAAATGAGACGGAAAAAAAATGAGATGTGTATTTACATTTTGCTTGAAAAATGATTCGCGAGAATGAGAGAAATATTATCGTATATCTCAAAGTATAATATCGTGATGGTGAAAAAAGAAGTAATAATTTGGTTTTGATTTTTTTTTCTTGAATTTCTAAAAAAGTTGACATTGTCAAAATTTTGTCTTTGCTTTTCTGTTTCATTTTTCTATTGGTTTGAAAATTAATTAATTTTTACTCGGAGAAATGTTTTGTATAAATCAAATATAATATATATTTGGGTTAAATAAAATTTTTTTAAATTTAATTATTGTAATAAATTTTAATTTTATATTTTATACTTCTTTGAGGCTAGTTTTCAGAAGAAAAAATCTACAGAATGTTAAATGTATTTAAACTTTTAAGTAGTTAAAATCAATTTAGTCGGGTAAAGAATGTTATTCTTTACTTTTACTTTTAAATAGTAACAATTAATTTAGTCTGACAGAATAATTGTTATTCTTTAAATTTATAGTTTTAAATAGTAAAAATTAATTTCATAAGTCAAAATATTTGTTTTTCATTAAATTTACAGTTTTAAGTAGTATGAGTCAATTTAATTTTTATTATTGTTTGAGTTTAGTTTCAAGTAGAAAAAATCAATTTAGTAGGACAGAATTTTTATTCTTCTTTAAAATTATTATTTTAAGTAGTAAAAATAGTTTTAGTCAGACAGGATATTTGATTTTCCTTGAATTTACAGTTTTAAGTAATATGAGTCAATTTAATTTTTATTATTGTTTGAGTTTAGTTTCAAGTAGAAAAAATCAATATAGTCGGACAAAATATTTGTTCTTCTTTAAAATTACTATTTTAAGTAGTAAAAATAGATTTAGTCAGACATAATATTTCATTTTTTTTGAATTTATAGTTTTAAGTAGTATGAGTCAATGTAATTTTAATTATTCTTTATGTTTAGTTTTAAGTAGAAAAAATCAAATATAGTCGGACAAAATTTTTATTCTTTTTTAAAATTTTAATTTTAAGTAGTAAAAATAGATTTAGTCAGACAGGATATTTGATTTTCTTTGAATTTACAGTTTTAAGTAATATGAGTCAATTTAATTTGAATTATTCTTTATGTTTGGTTTTAAATAGAAAAAATCAATAATCAATATAGTCGAACAAAATTTGTATTCTTCTTTAAAATTAAAATTTTAAGTAGTAAAAATAGATTAAGTCAGACAGAATACTTTATTTTCTTTGAATTTACAGTGTTAAGTAGTATAAGTCAATTTAATTTTTATTGTTTGAGTTTAGTTTCAAGTAGAAAAATCAATATAGTAGGAAAGAATTTTTATTCTTTGTTAAAATTATAATTTTAAGTAGTAAAAATAGATTTAGTCAGACAGAATAATTGTAATTTAAAATTATAGTAATAATTAGTAAAAATAAATTTAGTGGTGTAGAATGTTTACTATTCTTCAAGTTTAGTTTAAAGTTGTAAAAATAGATTTAGTCAAACAGAATATTTATTTTTCTTTCAATTTATAGTTGTAAGTAGTATAAGTCAATTTAGTCATACATAATTTAAATTATTCTTTAATTTTACTTGTAAATAGTAAAAATTGATCTAGTCTGACAGAATATTTGTTCTTTTTTAAATTTACAGTTTTAAGTAGTAAAAATCAATTTCTTCAGTCAGAACGATTGTTCTATTTAAAATTTATTACTTTTAAGTGGTAAAAAATTTGAATGACTGGATTAATTTTTACTACTTAAAACTATTAATTTTAGAAAAGAACAAATACTGTTTGTCTAAATTTATTTTGACTACTTAAAAATTATGATTTTAAAAAAGAATAAAAATTCTGTCCGACTAAATTGATTTTTTCTACTTAAAACTAAACTCAAAAAATAATAATAATCTGTGTGACTAAATTGACTCATACTACTTAAAACTATAAATTACAAGAAAATCAAATAGTCTGTCTGATTGAATATATTTTTACTACTTAAGACAGAACTCAAAGAATAATAAACATTCTGTATGACTAAATCTATTTCTACAACTTAAAAAACACAAAGAATATTAGAATAATAAGAATTTTGTATGACTATACATTGATTTTTACTACTTAAAATTATATTTTTTAAGAAGAACAATTATTCTGCCTGGCTATGTTGATTTTTACTACTTAAAACTATTAATTGAAAGGAGAACAAAATTCTATATGATTAAATCTATTCTTACTACTTAAAAGTTAAAAGTAAATTAAAAAAAATAATAAAAATTCTATACTACTAAATTGAGTCATAATACTTAAAATTGTAATTTTAGAGAAGAAAAAATATTTTGTCTGACTAAATTGTTTTTTACCATTTAAGTACTTTAATTACTAAATATAAAATTATTTTTACACACACTTGCTATTAATATGACTTACTTTGTTGGAGTGGTTTACAAAACACGATTAAAATAGGCTTTGTTTAAGATAATTAAAACTATATTAAACTTCATTATTTCTGTGGAGTCATGTAATCGTTTATTTTGATTCAAATAAATTTTTGTTTTCAATGTAATTATTTATTACTAATTATCTACGATTCATAGTAATAAAATTATTATGAAATTATTTAATCCAAGTGCGTGTTTATTTTGATAATGAATAATTTTATTTGATTTTAATGAATTGTTTTTTTTGTATCAGGAAAAAAAGTTTGTAAATAATTTGTAAAATATAAAATTCTTTTCTTTAAAAACTCACCAGTGACGTTGAGTGTGATATGTTGAACATTGTTGCATTCTCGATTCACTGCCAAATAAGTAGCCTCACACTTGTACAATCCCTCGTCGGCAATTTTGATGTTTGGAATTTTTAGAAAAGTCTCAGTGTCATTTTTTGCAATCATCATACCAGCTCTGAAATAAAAACGAAAACAGAGAAATTACAAAATTACCAACAATGAAGAAAATTGAAACTGTTGCAAACGAAAAAAAAAATAGAAACTATTTGTAAATAAAAGAAAACAAAAATGAAAACTGATAATAAGAAAGAATAGTTATTATCGTATCAAGGGCGCAAAATAGGTGATCTCGCCAAAGTCGTAATCACCTTTGCGCCCATGTTGCGAACATAATTTTTTGTCCTAACTGCATGAAAAGTATGGCATTGAGGGCACGAGCGAAGCGGGCGTAAAAGTACTTTTGCGCCTGCTCGGGCTAGATGAAGCGGGCGCAAAAGTACTTTTGCGCCCGCTTGTGTGACGTCAGCGGGCGTAAAAGAACTTTTGCGCCCGCTTCCCCGGCCCCGGGCGAGAATCAGTTACTTTGCGCCCACTTTAAGTGCCCGAAATGACATACTTTTCGTGCAGCTAGGACAAAAAAAAAGTTAAAATTGATAATAAGAGAGAAAAAAATTAAAATTGACGCTAAGAGAAAAAAAAAATGAAAACTGATGCAAAAAGAAAAGAAAATTTGAGATAACAAAAGAAAAAAAACCTAGCAAAGTGTGCAAAAAAAAGAAGAGTAACGGAAAAAAAACTTTAGTGCAAAATTACGAGCGATGGTGTCGAAAAGAACATATAATGTATTTCCTTGTAAGAAACTTTGAAATATCTCATATAAAAGGGATGAAGCACGTTCGCGGCATAAAATGACATCGATTTACATTCTAGTCCCGTTAACCCAATTAAGCAGATTCGCTTTGCAGGTTACGATAACGGAGCAAAAGGACATTGTACTTGGCGGATCTGGGTTCGCCAGAGCCTGTCGATTAATGAATCCGATAAGATTATAAGTGGCGCTGCGGTAAATTCCAATTAACTATCACCGCATTATAGAACAATGAAGCTCGAAAAGAAAACCTCAAGCGCGAAAAAGCCATTTAACGGAGACTTGAGCTGCTTTAGTAATTATTTTTTTATTATTAGTTTACAGTGTATTTTTTATTTTTTTTTTTTTTTGAAAAAGCATTTTTAAGTTTTCAATTCACCCGGAGAAGTAATATATTTCAATTATGTAAAATTTATTTCAATTAAATAAAATGTATATCAATTAAAAAAAATTTATTTCAAAATATGAGATTTATTCTATCACTCGGTTGTATTGATATAGGTAAATAATTGTTGAAATGAACGATCATGATAAAAATTTAATTTTTTACGTTTCAACTGCACAGCTGTCATCATTGAAAACTACTGACATAATGCGAAAAAATTTATTTGAAAATAACTTAACAAAATATGTTTCTTAATATTTCAATAATTAATTTGTTAAAAATAGTTTCATTTATTATTTAAAATCATATTTTGTTTTAACCCCTTCACACTCTAGTGGAAAAACCCTTCTCGAGCTACAAACGGTTAAAAAAAAAGTTTCTAAAAAAATTCCATTAAGTCACATTTAAAGTTTTTGGAGTAATTAAATCCGAATTTAATGTCAAATTTTTTAAATTCAAAATGGTGGATCTAAAATGTCGGACAATATTTTTTCAATTTAGTAACTGTCAAACTCCCAACTAACGACCTTTAAGCAACTCTGAATAACTTTTAACATTATTGGTTGACATATTAAAACCGCCATTTTGAATTTTTTAAAATTAACTACAAAACTTCTGAAGTTTGGTATCAAAATAAATTTTTTAAAATATTCGAAAATCTTGAATTTCTCTTAACTTTCTTCTTTCCTTAAAAACTTTTTATAATCACAATGAATTTTAAAGTAATACCTCGATTTTTTCAAATTTCTTTAAATAATTAAATTTGTTTCAAAAATAATTAAATTCCAGAATGAATTTCTTAAAAGTTATTAATTGTAATTTTAAAAAAATTATTTAAATCAGTTGCAATTTTAAAAAAAGAATTCTATTTCAAAAAGTGATAAAACTAAAATTCTGAAAAAAGTTGGAAAACGAGAAATTTTATTTAATTTTTTTAAAACTAAGTAAATTTTTCAAAAATTAAATTAAAATTTGTTTTCTAATTTTTTAAGAATTTTAATAAAAGTACTTAAACGTAGATTTAAAAAAAAAAATTTATTATGGAATTATCAAATTTCATGAAATTGAATAAAATGTATTCGTATGATTGTTAGTGTTAAAAGCGCAACATTAAAGAATCAAAATTGCTTTTAAAATAATTTAATTTTTCGCAAAAATTAAAAAAATTTTTATGGAAAATTCTGAAAAAATTAGGGTTTTAAAATATTTTAATTTTATTTATTTTAAAGATAATTGGCAATTTTTATAAACAAGTAATTCGAAATTTTTTAAGTACTTGAAATTTCCTGAAATTCTATTAAAAATAATTGAATTTTCTAAAGAATTTTAATTGTACTTTCTATAAGTTTTTTTGCTTTTAAAATATTTCTGTTATTAAAAATTATTTTTTTTTAATTGTATTTTTTTTAAATTTCTTTAGAAATTAGAAAAAAAGACAAATTTCTATCGCAAAACTAGCACAAAAAATTATATTTTTGTAGCGCATTGTAAATAGACATTGAGTCAATTTTTCTTTTTACAGTTTTTTTGAAAGTACCAAATTGATACCAAAAGGTTGGATCAATTTTTTATTTGAAGCACATTTTTTTATATTAATTCGTTGCAATTTGATACTGTTTTAAGTCAGCCAGTGTTTTATATTCAACTCTCTTCGTTTAAATAAAACATATATTTAAAAATAAAATAATTATTTGAAATATACGATTTTATTTTATTAAAAAACTATATATTTTTTCATGTAGAATAAATAAAATTTTTTATTTTCTTCTAATTCTATATTTTTTATTTGAAATAATAAATAAATCAAATTTCCTAATTTAATAAATGTGGATTAAATGATCTGGGACTCGATTTGTAATTTGTAATGTAATTTCATTTTTTCGACTTTTCTTTTCACTTTCACTTTGAAAGAATTTTTTTACACTTTCATTTGCACTTTTATAAATTTTTGTTGTTACATTCATTTTCATTTTCACTTTGTCAAATTTTTATTTTCACTTTCATTTTCACATTTTTTAGATTTTTATTTTTACTCTTATTTTTACAGTTTTACTTGATGTAATTTTTAATTACACTTTCACTGTGACAGATTTTTATTTTCATTTTCTGTCAAAGTAAAAGTAAAAATAAAAATTTATCAAACTAAAAGAGAAAGTAAATTTTAAATTATGTCGAAAGTATAAAAATGAAAGTGCAAGTGAAATTCAAATTCTATCAAATAACAATGAAAACGAAAGAGAAAGTGAAATTGTGTCAAAGTAAAAGTGAAAATAAAAGTGAGAATGAAATTCTATCAAAGTGAAAGTAAGAACGAAAATGAAAGTAAAAATGAAAGTCAGAATAAAATTACATAATCGATTTCCAATTAATAAGTTTTTTCTTTGTTACTAATAAGTATGTGTTTTTCAAGTAATTTTTAGTTTGTTCAATTTAAATTTTAATTTAAATGTTAGTTTTTTTATTTTTAAATTTAAATGTTATTTTTTATTTTATATGTTATTTTTTAATTTAAATGTTATTCTTTCATTTTAAATGTTAGTTTACTGAATAGAACTGTTAACTAATTTGATTAAAGTAAAATAATTTATTTATAACAGATATAAACAAATGGCTAATGAAAATTTTTGTTTGAAATCAGTAAATTTTTTTCTCCTAGTTAATAAATCTCTCTTTAAAATATGAATACTTAGGACGCTTTTTGATGAAAAAAAAATGTTTAAAGCATTAAATAGATAATAAACACTTCTGTTGAATTCTTTCTCTCTCTCTCTTTCTCTTGTATGTTTTTCTAGATCTCATAGGGACTTTAGGTACTGAAAGCGTTTCGATATTGACATGAATCATGTAGGAAGTCTCTTTTCTCGAAACCATTCCTACGGATCGCAGATCTTCAACTTCAATTTCCTGCCTCTCTGGTGAGAAATGAAATCGTACGTAAAAGGCGTTTGCTGTACTTTTCAAGAAAGAGACGGGCTTTCTCGGCATCGATTGTATTTTCTGCATTCCTTCACATATTTGGAATTCCGCGGATTTCTCTAGTCAATGAAGTCAATACGTCGAATAACTCAGAGCCTTTCAATTCTTTCCTCTCTCTTTCTCTCTCTCTCTCTCTTACTCACTCTCTGGTTTTTCTTTATATTATTAGAAGAAAACCTACATCATTTTCAAAACATAAAAAGCTTTCCTATTTTCCCAACTTAAAGCTTCTTTTCATTCTTATAGTAGGATAAATTTATATGAGCACAAATCTCAAGAATTTCTTTCTACGATGAAAGCATCTTCCTAAAAAAAAAATGCTTTTTCCCTTTTTTACAACTCGTTGGGATTTTTCTAAACTAGATTAAAACGAACTATAAAATAAGGAAAAAAAATTGAAAAAAAAGTAGAATATAAATGTAAAATTGAATGAAATTCTCCCTGCGGTAAATAGAGTATAAAATTAATTAATATATCAATGTATTCAAAGTCAAAAATTTTTTGTTTTACAAAAAACGAGAGCTCATGATAATCCAAAAAAATGCATACAAAATAAAAGTGAAAGTTTATTGGAAAAAATTTTTTATCCTTGATATAACATTTTTTACAGCTTTTCTCTTTCAGTTGAAATTTACGGCTATCAGTCAAAAATATTATGACGTTGAGGCAACGAAATAAATTACAAGCCGAATAGGGGAGAGAGAAGAGTGTATAACGTGTATTTTAAGGTCGATGGGGAAATTTCCAGGTTCCTGGACTAGCCGAAATACTTCGAGTTCCTCAACTTCAATATAAGCGAGTTTCGCATCCTAATAATGCAATTTTAATGCAGTCTTCGACACTATAATTCTCATTTATTTTCTCTATCTATCTATGAAAATTCCTACACTATTTCTTTACTAATTTTCTTTTTTTTATTTTGCTTCTTTTAAAATATAATAGAAAA